TCGAAAGAGGACGAGTGAAATAATAATAGATAAAAGGGATTTTAAAGGTCATTTTGATTCAAGTTAAATGTTTCATGAAAAGTGTAAAATACAAGGGCGATGTTTTAAAGTTGATGCGCCTTAGCTCCTCAGGCACTTAGGCGACGCGATCTTGTAAGTGACCTTGCATATTGCCATGCGATGAAGGTTAATAAGGCGATCACCTTTTAGCGCCTCGTGACCTTGCCTTGGCACCTCAGGCACTCACCTAAGGATGTGATGCAATGCGCGAGGTATTGTCTATTTCAAAATCTTAGGGTGCGATCACCTAAGGATGTGATGCAAGGCGCGAGGTATTGTCTATTTCAAAATCTTAGGGTGCGAAAGGTGTCCAATTTAAATAAAGCAAAATTTATTTTTGTTACTGAATTTTTTGTTTCTTTTTTCATTGTCGGTTTTTTGTTATTTTTCTTGTTGAAATGTACTTTATTACTTGTATCATTTTGAGGACACGCTGCAATTTGAACTTTAAAGTTCAAAGTTTGTTGCTTTATTATCTGTATTAATAGGTACTAATTAATATTACCATTTTATGTTTGTTACTTGCTACTTCATTTAGATGGTTTATGACTTATTAGATTTGTGACTTTGAAAATTGGCTGTGATTTATGTCTTTTTGTTATTTGTTGATATTTGCATAATAGTTGCAATGTTTGTGAATTTTTTGAATATTTATCGCTTTGATTCACTCAGGCGATTGTCTTTTTTAGCACCTCTAAGCATCGGGAAACATAGGACCTCATCGCCTTGACCTCGCCTTTTCCTTTTAAAACACCGTATAAGGGGTTAGAAAGGTGGCAGAGATTCTTAGGCAGTGGATAGAAAAAAAAGAAATAAATGAATGTAAAGCATTGAGTGGAGAATTTGAAAGGGCGCTGCTATTTGGAAATCTAGAGACAGATATTAGAAGAAGAAATTAGCTGAGTTTAAAAATAAAAATAAGTTAATAGTTATTCCTAAAAGAAATTAACAATTACAAATTAGGAAGTTGAAGAGCCGAGTCTAAAAATGCGCCAAGTGTACACCCAAGCTTTTATTTATTAGTATAGTATTGATTCACCTAACAATCCTTATCAAATTAAGTCTATCCATAATAAAAGAATGCTAATTATAGTCGAATATTTTATAATCCTAATTAAATCATAATTATCCATGATTTAAAAATCTAATACTTATCGATAATCTTAAATCGTCACTTGACCCTCCTTAAATTTTTTAAAGGACAAGTTTAATTAAACCACCATTTAATTTAGATGTTTGACACTAAACCCTCAACATTTTGAAACCCCCTATGAGCTTGGGAAATTTAGAAAACCTCCACAATTTTTTGATTTTTTGCATTTAATCTATAAGACCATTACGCCATATTTTATATTGACAAGCGTTATCCCTCAAGACCATTAGGGGGGCTATGTATAATTATCTAAGCCCATTTTCATCACTACTTTACACTGTTTGGGAATTTTCATAATCTCTATAAATCACAGGGATCTAGACTATGTTTTTCTATTAAAAAAAACCAGGTTCCTTTACTCATAGGCGTATACACCTGTCAAATCATTTATCTTTGGACATAGTTTCTAATGCTAAAATTTTCATTTATTTATCTTTGGATATAGATACAAGCGCATACCTATTTGCAAATTAGCCTATAAAATTACAAACAACCCTTGAAAAATACAAATATTACAAATAGCCCTCTAAAAAATATGTGACTACAAACACCCCCTGAAAAATTTGAATATTACAAACAATCCAGTTTAAATTCTAAAAATTACAGTCAATCTCTTGAAAAATCCAAAAATTACAAACATCCCTACAAATATAAAAATTACAAACAACCCACTGAAAAATCTAAAATTGCAATCTAGATCTAAAAACTGGAAGAATGGCCTAAAAATACAAAATATACAAATAACTACCTAAAATTTTGAATATTACAAATATCCCCTTGCGAAACCAAAATTACAAACAGCCCCTTTAAAATTCGAAAATTACAAACAATTTCCCAAAAAATTCAAAAAACACATACTAAACCCTAAAATTTATGGATAACCATCATTAGGGGTTTTCTACCAAAAGTTATTAGAGGTTAAGTGACAAAAATTAAACACTTATAAAGTGTTTTCTGTTAAAATTTATGAAGTGTGTTTTGGTCATTTGACCAGACATGAATTGACAATGTTAATTTGGGAGTATTCTGCCAAATGCTTTTGGAGGTTTGGTGAGAATTTCAAAGGTGTTGGGGGTTTAGTATCAAATGTTAAACTTGTTGGGGCCTTAGAGCATCTCCAACAGCTTCCCCATCTTCTTGAAATACTCAAATTTGAAGAATATAGAGCTTTTTTTTTGTCCAACAGATTCCCCATCCCATTCCCCAAAATAGGGAAGGATGAGAAAAAATAGGGAGCCTTCCCCAAATCTGCAGCATTCTCCAAATTTTTGGGGAGAGCTTTATTATTGTAATAAATGCGATTTTTCAAAATGGGGAAGCTGTTGGAGTTGGAGCAAAAATAATTTGGAGAATATGACTTTTGTTTCTCCATTTTGGAGAAAATTTTGGGGAAGCTGTTGGAGATGCTCTTAGTGAAGTTTACCCATATTTCAAATTTTATTGAGAAGGTAGATAAGTAGTTATATGTGAAGACCCTGTATTTATTGAAGAATAGATTAGTGGTTACTATTGTTGCAACATACCTTCATTGTGAAATCAAGATGAGAGCTAAAATCCTAAATGGACAGGAGAATTAAGTGAAAGACATAGTAAATAAAAAACCTTGTATCTACTATTTTGTGAGCAAAAGAAAAATTGAACTACATAAAAGGTTAGAGATGGAAAAAGGAATGGTTTAAATTGATCATTTAGCTTGGTACCAAGCATAAATTTTATGGTTGGTAGTGAGGTGGCACATTCCTATCCACTCTCTAATCCATGTGAATGTGGTCCCTTATTTGAATGAGTGAATGAGAATGTGTCACCTTATTACCAAACAAAAACTTGTGTTCAGTGTTATCGAGGTGCAAGGCGCAATGTAGGGCACAAAGGCTCCTTACGCGCACCATGCGCAAGGCGCACAACGGTACACACGCCCCACTGAATTCAGGTGCACACCTCAAACAAATATGTTTCAACATAAGACAAGCAAACATATAAGCAACATATTTATAATTTGTCACCTAACTAAATCACGAAAGAGTTAATTAGCATGCATAACATAATGACGTTCATAAGTTTCTACAAATCACAATGCAAGATAATCTCCAACATAAGCAAAATTTTACGAAACAAATAAGCAAGTAACAAATAAGAAATATGTATTTTTATTTAAAATATGATATGTATTTTTAAATAACAATTAAGTGATTAACAAACATGACTGTTCATAATTTTCTAGTTAGCATTCTTAATTGCTATTTGCTAGTTAGCATGAAAAGATGGAGAATGGAGGTAACAATTACATATCTACATGTTCATAAATTTCTAGTTAGCATGCTAATTAGAGAAGAAAGTTGCAATTAGCAAACAAGTATACTAAATTAGTAATTACTATTTCTTTTTTATAGGTTAAACATGAAAAGATGAAGAATGGATTAGCAACTAGCAAGAAAGAGTTTATTACATGATATAAATATGTAATTATGTAAATTATTTTTAAAAAGAAAAAATAAAAGAAAAACAAAAGAAACAAACTAGAAAAAATAAAAAAACCTGATTTCTCCAGAGATAGTCGGCGGCGGCGGCGTTCGGGGTCATCCGTCGTTGTCGTCGTCCTTCAGCCGACTCGTTGGGGTTGGGGAGGGAGCAGGCGACGATAGAGAGAGGAAGCGGGCGCGTGAGAGAGGAGAGAAAGAGAGAACGACAGGAGGGAGCAGGCGACGATAGAGAGAGGAAGCGGGCGCGTGAGAGAGGAGAGAAAGAGAGAACGACAGGTTTTGAAACCCTAAAATCAAAACCCATTCATTTTACAAATTGGGTTTATGAAATCAGCGGGTTTCATACCTGAAACCCGGGTTTCAGGTTCATACCTGAAACCCATCTCATTTTACAAAACAGGTTGCGGCGCATGCACGATGCGATGCGCCCGACGCAGGTGCCAAGCGCACACGAGGCGCATGCGAGGCGCGCGCCTCGTGTGCGTGCAACGCCCATTACAGAGGGTTTTTTGGTTTACTACTATCCTTACCTCTCAAAAAACTGCCATGTGTGCTTCCCTCTTTTGAATTTGAAATAAAAACTATCCACACTTATTGAGAGAGGGAGAGAGAATCCTTACATATCAAAAAATTGCAGATAGAGTTTTGTAATCTATTACTATCCTTACATCTCAAAAAACTGCCATGTGTGTCTCCCTAATTTTGAATTAAAAAAAACTACCACGCGTTTTCTTTTTTTTCACCCACACATGCCATGCGTGCCTCCTTAATTTTGAATTTTGAAAATTTAAAATAAAAATTATCCACACTTATTCAGTGAGATAGTGTTTTTTTTTCAGCCACCCATGCGAGCACGGTATGCCTGTATGTCTTAATGATTAACTACTAATTTGACTTAGAATTAAAGATGCATAGTTTTCTCATCGACATTATTAGTTCAGGAGTTGAATGTGCTTCTTTACAAACCCTATAGTGCATACTCTTTTTCCATCTCCCTATTTATTGTTTATAGTGATAGAAAAATGTATTCGTTGTTTTCTTTAGCTCACATCACTATTGAAAGTAATATAGTAACTTTTGATCTTTCTGGTTTTTTGATTTTTTTCCTTGGGACATCCAAGTATTTTCCCTAGAGATGGGACTCTTCCCTACCCTAGGATTATGAGGTTCTTAGAGGCTACATTGTGTCCTCCCTTTGCTGTTATTTTTACATGGAGGGTGTGTTGTTCATCCTGTTTGTGATCTTCTTCGGCTTTATCAATTTCCTTGAAATGAATCTTTGTTTAACACAACTTTTCTTGTTTCAGGGTTTGCAGCGCTTCTGTACTGAGCACAAGATCAAATTATCAAAGGTACACATGCTGGCAACACATTTTTTTGGGGCTTATTTTTTTAGTGCAAACTACATTGTTAGGCTATGTTTTTGAGAGCATATCTATGAAATTACTTTTTAGTGATATTTTTAGGGTTTTTTTGTTCTTTTTAACCCTAAGTTTGATCCTGATTTATTTAAAAACCCACTCACTTTTTAGAATCACCTTTAAACTCAAAGTATCTCCAATGATTTATTTTTAAACCCACTCCTTCAAATACAACGATTTAGTATATAGTATTATAGAAATTTATTTAAGTTCCAGATTCTCACCTTTCTCTCCTATCATTCTTAATTCTACGTGCTACTCTCCCAATCTTCTTCCTCTCTCACCATCAAAGCCATGAAGAGGATGAAAGCCATGAAGAAGATGGTAGCAATTGTGCTCCACAACACCATTAACTAGTTCAAGATCATTGATTTTGTGCACTTGAGAAGATTAAACCCATCAACAAGACTGAATCCTCCCTCCTGATGTCGTTGCATCGCAAGGGATACAATAGTAGTTGTGCTTTACCTTTTAAAATTTTTTAGGATAATTTGGGTTCAATTATGGATATCATTCAAAATTACTTTCTGGTGTCATCTTGTCTTGCTTTTGTTATTAGTTTGTGGTTAGGATGTTGGATATATCCTGGAAATGAGATGGTGTTGAGCAATTGGTGAATTGGAAATGATGAGTGTTTATAATATAGTTTGTGGGTAAGGTGTTTGGCTTATTGTGTGAGTAAGATGTTTTGGTGAAATTTGGTAACTTGTTACACCTGGTTGATTTGCAATCGTAAGGAGCTATATGTTTTTCAGAAAGCGCTATAAAATGCCATAATGAGGTATACTTTGCAATAAGTAGCTATAAATATGTTCTAAAGATCTATAATATATTGTAAAGGGTTGTGTTTTAAATAGACAAAATTAAGACATTCTCAAATTCTATATTTTTTTTTGTGAATATATAAATATATATATTACTTTTTGTTTATTGTACTCAGACATTTCCTTACAAAGAGAGTCAAAATATTTGATTTTTCTTGAAAATGATATAACTTGTAAGGAGCTATACTTTATCCAGAAAGAGTTATAGAATTGTAATAAAGAGCTATACTTTATTAGAAAGAGTTATAAAAATGCAATAAAGAGCTATACTTTTTAATTAGTAGTTATAAATATGTTATTTGGAGTTTTAATATATTGTAAAGAGTTATACTTTGAATCAAAATTATGAAACTCTAAAGCTTCTTTTCTTATAATTGTAGCTAAACATATGTTCCTTTTTTAAATATTATCCTCAAACATTTCCTTGCAAATAGACCACAATTGTTTGATTTTTCTTGCAAATGATGAAACTCATAAATAGCTATAAAATACTAATAAGGGGCTATACTTTGCAATAAGTAGCTATAAATTCTTATAAAAGGTTATAATATGTTATAAAGAGCTATACTTTAAACAATCAAAATTGGGACATATATAGTTTTTTTTACTTAGTGTCCTCTGACATTTAGAATCCAAGCAGTTGATTTTCTTATAAATAATAGAACTCATAAGGATCTATACTTTAAACAGAAAGAGATACAAAACTACCATAAAGAGCTATACTTTGCAGTAAGTCACTATAAATATGTCATAAGGAGCTATAATATGTAGTAAAGAGTTATCTTTTAATTCTTCAAAATAAGAACATTTAAGCTTCTATTCTATAGTTGTATCTAAACACATAAGAATATTTCTGAAACATCATAGATTTTTGAACATTTAGGCGCATTTTTGAAGCACTTTTCTGAACACCACACATTGTTGTATAACATGAACACCATATAACTGAAACTTTCACAAAGCTGAAACTATATATGTAAGCCAACCTGATACACTATCTATCATTTATATACACATAAACCAACATGTCATACACATGTACACACGCGTATACACCAAACAAGTATCATGAAGAGGCCATTTCTTCTTCAGCTGTGTTGCAACATCGATGTTCATATCTACTTTATCATATTATGTTGTCGGCATGTTAATGACCCTTCCGATAGAGGTATATCGACATACTTCTCTTTCAGTAGTTCAACTGCAAAACCCAAGTCTCCATCCTTCAAATACCCAACAATTATCGGGTCCCAAGAAGTTGGGCTTCTACGAGACATTTTGTCAGACCTTTTGTGCAGAGATCCTATCTCCAACCTTATAGTATCATAAAAGATTGATTTATTTCAACAAATATTTCCAGACAAAGTAACTTCTTCGAACGGAGACAATAAGCTCAAGTTTTAGATTTGCGTAGTTAATCAGTGTCCCAAAGGGTATTTCGATCAATTTTGATTAGCAATTTTAGCGGACGGTTGATGAGTATTCTTGCTTCCCTTAGATACAGAGTTTCTTTAACAAAACATTTCATCAAACACCTTAAGGGTGTGTTTGGATTTCAATGGGGTTAAGGGAAGTTAAAGGAAACTAGGTGAGAGAAGGGAAGGGAAGGGAAGGGAGTTCCCTTCCCCTTGGTTACACCCTAATTTGGGGGTAACAAATAGCCACCTGTTCGGCGCTAATCATGAGTGACTCGTAGGGCTGTCCTGCACTTGAAGCGGTGTCATCGGAAGCCATCGCTGAGCAATCATCCGAGCCGGCATCCGAGCATACCTCCGAAGTTTCATCTTCTGAAGGAAGTCCCTTCTGTATTCTTTGGTAGTTCTTTCGCCTACTGGTCCCTGTTCGCAATCGAGTCATACGTTGGGACACTTCGGTGAACTGATCCGGACTAAAGTGTCGCGTTGACTTTCCTCTTCTGGTCATCGACATACTTCTCTTTCAGTAGTTCAACTGCAAAACCCAAGTCTCCATCCTTCAAATACCCAACAATTATCGGGTCCCAAGAAGTTGGGCTTCTACGAGACATTTTGTCAGACCTTTTGTGCAGAGATCCTATCTCCAACCTTATAGTATCATAAAAGATTGATTTATTTCAACAAATATTTCCAGACAAAGTAACTTCTTCGAACGGAGACAATAAGCTCAAGTTTTAGATTTGCGTAGTTAATCAGTGTCCCAAAGGGTATTTCGATCAATTTTGATTAGCAATTTTAGCGGACGGTTGATGAGTATTCTTGCTTCCCTTAGATACAGAGTTTCTTTAACAAAACATTTCATCAAACACCTTAAGGGTGTGTTTGGATTTCAATGGGGTTAAGGGAAGTTAAAGGAAACTAGGTGAGAGAAGGGAAGGGAAGGGAAGGGAGTTCCCTTCCCCTTGGTTACACCCTAATTTGGGGGTAACAAATTTTATACTATTAAGAGGTGAACCAAGGGGAACTAGGGTGAATAACTTCACCTCCTAAATGTTCCCAAATAAGGTGAATGGTTCCCCTACCTTTCCTTCTCCCTTATTCCCCTCAATCCAAACAAGCCCTAAGGAAACTTGTTATACAAACTTAAATGGATGAAAACCCCTTGGTCGAAGAGGCGTTGTAGGTGATGAAGAAGACGGTCGGTCCAATTGAGAGGGTCGGGTGAGAACGGAATTGAGAAGGGAGTTCGAGGTGGAGGGAAGGTGGGGAGGCAGACGAGATAAAAAGGGGAGAAGGGCTTTAGTATTTTGGGAGTAGGAGAGTGATGGAGCTTGAGGGGTAAGAGAAGAAGAGATAATTAAAGGAGATGGGTGTTTTGGGATTTTCAAGTGTTTTTGGTAAATACAGTATAGAAATACCCAGTATTAGATAAGTTGGGTTTAAAAATAAATCATTGGAGCTACTTTGGGTTTAATGGTGATTCTGGAAGTGAGTGGGTAAATAAACCCAAACTTTGGGTTAAAAAGCAAAAAACCTCTATTTTTAGTTGCTATTTTCCACATCTGTGTTTCCTCCAAGCATACAGCAGAAGCAATTTTTCATTAACAGATGGAATATTTGATTGTTTCTCCAGTTACTGATTGGTTTCTTCTATTTATATGGCTATGCTTTATCATAAAGTTGAAGATTTTTAATGGAGTTATTATTCCTTCAGATTGATCACATGTTCTTCACTCGTGTATGCTCAGAAACAGCTGGTGGATTACCAGGTGCATGCTTTCTCTGTCTTTTCCTGTTGTCAAGTTTTTTAATTCCTTTGTTGGTTCATATTAAGCATATCAAGGAACTGTATTCGATCTGAAAGGACAAATTAGCAGTCCCTTTTTCTCTTAGAATAGTAATTCCACTATATACCAAAATATAATGCATAAAATTTGTTTATAACTTTTTGATAATATACAGGTCTTCTGCTAACTTTAGCGGGCATTGGAGAAGAAGGAATGTCCGTATGTGATCTGTTAACTCTTTTCCTTGTCTTTCTTTTGGCTATATTTGGAGTATGCCTGTTTGCTAAAATTTTCAAGTATCTATGATAGGTGGCACATATAGTTTCTGATAAGTAGCATATGGGGCCCTTCTTTAAGATTGTTTTAATTTATTTTCAGGTTAAGATATGGGGCCCTTCTGATCTCACATATTTGATCAATGCAATGAAATCTTTTATTCCGCATGCTGCCATGGTTCACGCACAGAGCTTTGGGGAGTCGCAAAGTAGCGCTGGACCTGCTGTTTCATTTTCTGATCCTGGCAGGGCTACAGATCGTATTGTTCTCATTGATGATGAGGTGGTACGACTGTCTGCTATTCCATTAAGACCAGCCCAGTCCAGAGGTTTGCGAGATGCCCTTACTAATTATGAAATCTGAGCTTTTAGCATTTATGTTCTTATGGTCTTTAAAATAACGCATTTCATCTTTCACTTCACGTATGTCTGTGTGATCTTATATTTTTTAGTTATTGCAACCATATCTTTATTTCAAGCAAAAAATGGGCAAAAAATAGTTCATTAGTTCTTATGATTTATTGGATAAAACTAGCTTACAATTGTCAGTCTTATCATTCTAACAAGCATATCTCTTTAACATACTCTACTTTGGCGCAAGTTTTAGTAAAAAAAAATGACCATTCTTGTCAAATATGAGTTTTGTAAAATGAATTGAGAGTCAATTTATTACATATGTCATCAAAATATTCAAAACCAAGTGAAACATGACCTAATAACTTAAGAATCATTGTTGATCTGATCTATATATTGTTTGGTAAAGATCATATTTGCTAATAATCCAAAAATTAAAGAACATGTGGGAAAATTGTTATGGCAAGTAGAATTGTGTTCTCTCTTGAGAAGCCTGGGTATAGATATGTTATAATCCCTGTAAAATTTTTGTGGTTTCTGCCTGTAGTTAAGGAAGTGATAGTTGACCCTCAATCCTCCGCTAATGATGCTTACATGATATAACAGGTTCAACCTTAAAGCCTGGTGATATTGCTGTCATCTATGCCTGCGAATTGCCTGAAATTAAGGGAAAGTTTGACCCCGATAAAGCTGCATCTCTTGGGTTGAGACCGGGACCAAAATATCGTGAATTGCAACTAGGGAATTCCGTCATGTCCGATCATCTCGACATTATGGTAAGTTGAATAAATCTATTACTTGAAGCTCATAGTAGAATTTTGGCCTCTTGCATTACATCTTATAATATAATACTACTGCTGGAGACTGTTTATACTAATTTTCTTGCTAAGCTCTCAGCCAGAAAAGTTTATTTTGCTAATAGCTTTAGATCAAATGTTTCAATATCTTTTGACTACTATGCTTCCTTTGTTGTTTAAGCCGAATAATTATATCTTTGTAAAAATTCATATGCAACTTTAGTTATTGCGTGTGAAATTCAATTTCTTGCTCTATGTTGCAGGTTCACCCAAGTGATGTTCTTGGTCCTTCACTACCTGGTCCAATTGTTCTTATTGTTGACTGCCCAACATCAGACCATATGGTGGAATTATTTTCTCTGCAGCCTCTTGAATGTTATTATGTGGAGTCTTCACATCACCCAGGAGAGGGCATGAGACGTGTGAATTGTATAATTCACCTGAGTCCAGCTTCCGTAACAAGGAATGCAGATTATCAGACATGGATGAAAAAGTTTGGCGGTGTGCAGCATATCATGGCAGGGCATGAAATGTGAGGTTCGGTGCATGTTTCTGCTGTTTCTGTTCTTTTTTACTTTTTAACATAGAAGAGTTATTTTCAGTTGATTCCTTTTCTCATACCTTTTCTTATTCCATTACTTTTATCTAACTTGTCTTGCTTGGATAAATATTATAAATATTATACTGTAATAAAAGCTCAAGGCCTGTTCTAAAAGTTCAAGTTGTTGAGGTTCTACACACATGCACACGTGTGCGCGCACACACGTGTATATATTTATGTATATGTATATGTACGTGTGTGTGTCTATGTATATAGATACCTATATAAATATATAGACGCGCGCACACACACACACACATATATGTGTGTGTGTGTGTGTGTGTGTATATATATATATATATATATAGGTATCTGTATATATAGATATGCTAGGTTTTATACACGTGCAATGCATGAGCTTATTTCCTAACTAAAATTTGTTCCTCGATTCCACTTTAATAATTTTTGCTCGCTTTTGTCTCTAAACTTTAACATTGCGATTATTTATTTTCTTTGATGTTTGTTTAAATGGGCTACACCCAATATTTTCATGTTGATAATTGAATTGACAAAAAACAAATATAATCTGAATCCAATTTGAATTTTCATATTATTTGAACTGACATGAAACCAAGCTTTACTTGAGAAAGTACAGTGTTGTAAAAGTAAAAATATTAAAATAATGTTATACTAGGAAGGTGAATATTTAAAACCAATAATGCAGGATGATAGATTAAAAGTATGCTAGAACGATTCAAAAGAGAATATGAAGTTTGTTCCTAATCATTGATGGACTTCATAAAAAATTATAAATTAAAGATTAATGCTAACTCTAGTATACTTTTATATAATAAAAGTATCTACATAAGCATATAAAAGTACTGAAAAAAGTTCGTGAAACTACCTTCTAGAAATTCCTAATTTCACTCAAAACAATTAAGCTATTCTATAAAATATTGTCTTTTAGTCCTATTTTATTTTTTATTGAGCTGAGATCAATCATTCTTCACCTTTATCTTTTTACTAGGCATTTCTAGAGTAGTGTCTTCACCATCTACATCGATTGTGACATCAGACTGGAGTTGTATTTTTTGTGTTGTTATCTTTCTTAGGATTGTTGATCTTTTATCTTCTCGTTTACTTACAAAGAAGTTAAATGTATTTTCGATGTTCAACACAAACTTCTTAAAATACATACTTTGATTTTTTTTCTATTTCAATATAAATGTTAATTTCATATATATGCAATTCTTTGTGTTCCTAATTTATTACTTAAATAAAATTAAGAGCTATCTCTTTTTTTCTCTACAATAAATCTTCTGATGTGCATTCAATAAGAGTTTCTATTATGTCAATAATGTTACATTTGTTCTATCCCTATCATTATCCACAAAGATCTGAACCAAATACCTGTGTTTTTCATTACCAATTTGCGTAGAGTATAATATTCATATTTAATTTTTTAGTATTTGAAGAACAAATGAAATTTTTGAATATTTACTAATTTTTCTTGTATCTTCCATGGAGAATTCTTCTTTAATTGAGATAAAGTTAAATTATTCTTTAATGGGACTCAGTCGGTGCTTTGTTTTTATAGATGTCTTATGTTAATGCCAATTCATGTGATTCATGGACGTTTTCTGAATTCTAGATTTATTTTTGTTATTTTTTCATTTGCAATGAAAATCAATGAAGCATGGACTCGGACACGTCGACACGGACACGGACACGGACTCGGCAAAATCCAAAAAATAGGACTCTGCGACACGGCTAGATTATTTTAATATTATTATTATATATAGATAAATTTATAAAATTCAAACAACAAACTAAAATTTATTATATATAGATAAATTTATAAAATTCAAACAACAAACTAAAATTTAATCCTCAAACACAAAATAGTAAGCTACTAACACGTTTAAAATTCGTACACAAACAACAAACTAAAATTTAATCCTCAAACACAAAATAGTAAGCTACTAACACGTTTAAAATTCGTACAGATCGCATTCTCTGAAGTCTCTCATTCGAAAGACTAGTGACGGACACGTGTCCCGGTCCCCGAAACATCAAAACAAACTTCTTCGCTACATCCGACCACCCATGACCTCGCATTTCTAAAAGCTAACCCCAACAAGCTCAATCAAACTAATTTATATTCCTTTTCTCCCCCTAAATCTCAATATTTAGAATATAATAAACAAAATATCTCAACAGCCCCACTCTCTCCCACGTGATTCCAGAAGCACCGCAGATGGCTGCACAGAAGTCACGCCAGCTGTCGCACACAAAACAGAGAGAGAATCAGAGATCGAGAAAGAGGGAGAGAGAATCAGAGAGAGGAAGAGATCAGAGAGAGAGAGATCGAGAGATCGAGGGAGAGAGATGAAGAATCAGAGAGAGAGATCGAGGGAGAGGCTGACCTAGCCGGCGAGAGATCGAGGGAGAGAGGACGAGCCGACGAAGACGAGGACGCGACGTTCTTTTCCGTCGTGTCGGAAGAGAGAGAGAGAGAGGATGAGCCGATCGGGTGAGTGAAAACTAGGGTTTGGGTTTGGGTTTTGGGTTCTCTTTTTTTTCGCCTCCCAGCCGTGTCGGGAACAATTCATCCGTGTCGAGAGCGTGTCGGCCGCTAGTCGGGGCGTTGACCCGTGTCGGTGGCGTTGACCACGTGTCCGACGCGTGTCGAACGCGTGTCCGCGTCCGACGCGCGTCGGAGACGGACTCGGGGCTTGTTTTGGAGTGTCGGTGCTTCATAGATGAAAATAGCTTGATTTTTTTGAAGGATATCTCTAAACATTCTGATAGTTTCTTCATACATAATTCCTTGTTTTCTTTTACCCTATAGATATTATTAACATTAGAGATTAATTTTTCTAAATTATAATCAATTAATGCTAAGATATTATATTATAGTCTTTTACCATTTTTATAGATTTAAAATTCTATCAGTTAATGCTACTTATGTATTTTTGTCGCTTCAACTTATTAGTAAAATTATATGTAGTTACTTTAATTTATATAGTGATGGTAATTTTTAAGTTATCATATATTTTTTAAATTTTTATTCCTTAACCAGATATTTTTAATCAATTCTTATTGTTTTTTTTACTAGCATCAACTTAGACTTTTTTTAGATGCTGAAAAGGGATAGTAAACTCTAAATTAGAAATTAAATATATATATCTTAATGAAAGAATACTAAGCAAGTACACTTTTTTTTGCCAAGTTTTGAAATATCAGCCCTTTTTTGTGGTTTTAAACGTTGATGGTGTGATTTGTAATTTTAAAACTTTGGGAGTGTTTTTTAAAAAATTTTACTTTTAAGTTTGGTAGTTGTAACTTCTATATTTCATGTGTCGGTGGTAGTTTTTCAAATGTCAGGATATTTCTTCCAACTTTAAAATTTTAAGGGTGTTTTTACAATTATTAAAACTTTGGGTTATTTTTTAAAAAATTTAGATTTTAGTGGTTTGCCAGTAGTTTCCAGTTTTGATGTGTATTGGTTATAAATTTTGAAAATTTAGAGTTTTTTGCTATTTTTAAATTTTAGGAGTTTTTTTTATAATTTTTGTAACTTTTGTAACTTTGAGGTTAATTTTGGCAAATTTTATATTTTTAGGTGGTCGAGGGTAATCTCTTGAATTCATATTTATTGATTGCAAATTTTAAAATTTTGAATTTTAGCGTGCTTTTTTGTATTTTGAACTTTTGAGGGGTGTTAATTACAAAGTTTAAATTCTTCAAAGGGTGGTGCTAATTTCTTGATTTTATGTTTGTTGTTTTAAATTTTAAAACATCAGAAAGTTTCAGGTGCATCATAATAATCCCTTGAATTCATCTATGTTTGCAAGTTTTGAAATTTTAGAATTTTAGGGTGCTTGTTTGTAATTCAAACTTTTAAGGGTGTTTCTATAATTTTTTAAACATTGAGGTGTTAACTATAAATTTTAAATTCTGCGCAGACTGCTGTTAATTTCTTGATTTCATGTTTGTTATTTTAAGTTTTGAAACGTCAGGATATTTTTTATAATTTTGAACTTTTCAAGGTATTTTGCGTAATTCTAAAATTTTAGTGTTTTTTTTGTAATACATGTATTATGGTATGTTAACTATTGTATAATTCCTTTACCTTAACAAACTACTATCGTAAAACTATTTTATATATTTTATCAATATTATTTTTTAAATTGTTGGGCTATAGATAGTTCACATGAGATTAGTATAAGATATAATTATGATTAGGATAGATTAATATTTAAATGAAATATTCAAAATTATGAAGGGTAATATAGAACCATGAAATCTTTCTCTGAACTTGTACTTTTAAAGATATATTATATATATATATATATATATATATAGAGAGAGAGATTAATGTGTATCCTTGTCATAGAAGGGGATTTCCTCATTGACGCCTATGTGACACAATCCTCACCATCCTCTAAGTAGGAGAGAGAGTGTGAGTTGGTGGGGATTGTGTCTACTATATGAAGATGGTGGAGATTGTGCCACATAGGCCGACAAAGAGGGAAATCCCCTCCCTATGCACAGGATACCATAATAATAAATAATAATAATATGTGTATGTATGTATGTGTGTATGTGTGTGTGTGTTGTCTCGTGGCTGTGTGTGTATTTGTGTATGATTTGTATGATGTGCATACAATATATATGTATATTGTTATATATATATATTATATAATCTATATATTATATATATATGAGATTTAATGGTATCCTTGTCATAGGAGGAGATTTCCTCCTTGACGACCTTTAAAATTACAGTGAATGAGCGACATTGTAGTCGATATGCCGCCCGTTGAACTGATCTACATATTCTAAAACCCAACCACACCAAGTTTGGGGAACCCGTCGTCGTTTGACCATTCATCCAACTCGTATCAATTTAACGTTTGAATGAATAGAACTTTTCACATGGCTCGATCGGAGGTCAAACGACGACGGATTCACCCCATAACTTGCGTGTGTTGGGAGCTTTTAGTAATTATGTAGATCAAAGTTTCAACGAATGGATCATCCACAATGTCGCTCAATCATGTGATTTGTAGAAGCAGTCATAGAAGGAAATCCCCTCCTATGACAAGGATACCCACTTATATCTCTCTCTCTCTCTCTCTCTATATATAATATAATATATATAGAGACGAGAGAGAGAGATATTAATGGGATATCCTTGTCATAGCGAGGCGGATTCTTCCTCTATGCACGCTGTATCTAAAAATCACATGATTGAGCGACTCTTAGTGAGGATGATCCGTCTCCGGTTGAAGCTTGACTCTACATATTCTAAAACCTCAAACACGCCAAGTTGGCGGGTGCAACCCGTCGTCCTTTGACCATTATCCAGCTTCGTATCAATTTTAACAGGGGGTTTGAATGAATAAGAACTTTTCACATGGCCGATGGAGCGGGTCAAACGACTTGACGGATTCACCCCAAACATGTGTGTTTGGGTTTAAATATTGCTAGCATCAAGCTTCAACGGACGCGTCAGTCCATAATAGTCGGCCCCAATGCATGTGATTATTAGAGGCTGTTCAAGGAGTTAAATCCACCTCCTAATGACAAGGACCCCATTAATCTCATATATATATATATATATATATATATATATATATATATATATATATATATATATATATATATATATATATATACGTGTGTGTGTATGTATATTTATGTGTATGTAGTATGTGTATATAGATGTATCCATGTATTCATACAAACATATATACATATGTATACATACATACATATGCGTACAATATGTATGTATACATACGTACGTACATGTGTGTGTGTGTATGCATATACACAGATACATACATACATACTTACTTATAGGTAAGTGATATTGAAATATCAAATCACATTGATCTTGTTAAAAAATAGAGTTTTGCATTATCTTGGAACTTTTAATTATACACATCAAAGCATATAGGGTCATTGGTAGCAATTCCCTCTAATCAGTCTTATATTCAAGCTCTGATTATATGGTCAAACCTACCTACTATAATGATATAATGAATCTTCATCCTCTAATCAATTTTACAATCAAGTCTCATTTATTTGGTCAAACATAATCAATGACTATAGACTATCTGTGAATGCGTGCACACTCATGGACATGTGTCGGTGTACTTGGAACCGTCTGCTTTTCAATGCCTTCTCAGCAATCAGATACTGTTAATCCCTACACTTACGAGGCTAGTATTGGGTTGCTTGATATTTCAGCTACATCAGTCGATAGTCTGCATATTGGTTGAGGAAAACAAAAGCTTTACCATGAAGACATTACTTTTTCAGATGTTTTTAACTTTTGTATACTAGTTTTGAATAGTCAAAGTAACAGATCACTGAATTCTTGTTGGGCTCTTATCCATAAGCTCCCTTTATTATTTGATAGGAAAAACATGGAAATCCCTGTCCTCAAAGCTAGTGCAAGAATTTCATCAAGACTCAACTACCTATGTCCTCAGTTCTTTCCTGCTCCCGGATTTTGGTCTCCGAAGAATAATAGCTTCTTTCCACAGCCCAATGGTTATTGTGAGGTTTGTTCATCAATCATTATTTAAGTGCATCCTAGTCAGGTTCCGATTATTAGCTCTATTGAGATGATAAAGTGCTGATCAGTTGGTTAAATTTTCCAGGATTCCTCTCCAGCTTTGGCTAACAGAATTTCAGCTGAAAATCTTCTCAAGGTACTGAATGAGGTCATGAGTTTATAAATTGTGTACCATTATATAAATGAAGATTATGTTATATGACCAACTGCCTGTGCTGTTCTATATAGAATTTAATAGCCTTAAGTTCTTTCTAATTGTCATACATGTTAAGTATTTTACTGCTATTAATATGTTCGGTGCACAACCTTCAGGATGCTAACACATCATGTCAATAATTGCATGTTTCTGTCGTCTATGTGTGCACGCACTGACACTAAAACCAATAATTTAGAATACAATAATTCATATAGTAGAAATTTTCATAAAATGTCCGCAACTTACCAATGCAATATACTATAATATATATAATATATATATATATATATATATAAATATATATATATCTGTATTTCGTGTTTGTTTTGTACATTATTGTGTACATCTAAGCCAATCAGGGCAAGAAGAGCACAATGTATCAGTAACTTAAGGCACTCACATCCGTCCATGTGTGCTTGCGTAGTTGCGTGTTAGTAAGTCTCGCACGTTTATTTTGTACGTTGTTGTTTACATCGAGAGGTGCATGAATGACACTTAATTTGCTGATTCTTTTTTGAGGTAATCTACAATACTAAGTTAATAAGGTCGAAAGCTTTAAAACATCCATTCCCTTTTCTTCCTTTTCATTTCTCTTTTTCTTGTTTTGTTTTTTCCCCTATGCTTTTCTTTTGTCACATTTCTCAATCCAAACCCTGTGATTAGTGGACATCTAATTTCTAATATTAAATGTTCCTGTCTACCTCACCTTGCAGTCTGGATGCTAATTAACAAAATTGGGGAAAGTTATATGATATTCTTTCTATGTCTTACATAAAGCATCTAAATCATTTTAGCATTGCCAGTCTGTTAATGCTGACATTGTTTAATAATCTTGTAGAGTTTGTAACTTGCACTATCTGAATACTGTGGCTGATAACTATATGCTGCAAGTTAATTTGCTGCTATCTTTACATGAAGCATAAACTAATTTGTGAACTCTCTCCTGAATCTTTTGCAGCTATTTCTATACACTATGTCTTCTAGATGGCCTCGTGCTTTAACCAATTTTGTTTTAGTTTATGGTTTCTCATTTCTTGTTTTCATTACCATTTTATTTATTTTTTGAAAATTAGCACAACAATAAATGGGCATGCCTTCTTTTATTTTATTTTTGAGAAATGAATGCAATTTAGTAAAGTGCTTCCCTTCTTTTTATGCTCCAGTTTCATCTCCGTCCCCTTTCTCAGCTGGGTCTGGACCACTCGGCTATTCCGAGCATGATCAATCACAAAGAGATTGTTGATGAACTTCTAACAGAAATTCCTGAAATTGTTGATGTTTCAGAACATGTCAGTCAGTTCTGGGCTGCAGAAAGTAAAGATGTGATGCCTAAGAAAGCTGAAAATATAATCATGGTGGAAGAACCATGGATGAATGAAGCTTCATGCAGTACCAAGGCGAACTTTGAACTTGTGAGATGCAAGGAGAGCACATGTCTTGTAGATGGCATTGAGAAGAGCGGAGTTACTCAGAATTTTGATATTCCTCCTTGTTTGGAGAATATAACACGGGAAGACATGGAAATTGTTCTTCTGGGTACAGGTTCATCACAACCTTCCAAATATCGCAATGTCAGTTCTATTTTTGTCAATCTTTTCTCAAAGGGAAGTTTGCTTCTAGATTGTGGAGAAGGAACATTGGGACAGTTGAAAAGAAGGTTAGTCTGAAGTTCAAAAATCTATTTTACAATTTGATTATCGTTTCTTGCTACTCTTATTGACTAATTTTGCTTCTTTGTGCCAGATTCGGTGTGGAGGGCGCTGATAATGCTGTTAAAGGTTTAAGATGTATTTGGATTTCTCACATTCATGCTGATCATCACACTGGTCTCGCAAGAATACTTGCACTGCGGTCTCAATTGTTAAAGGATGTGCCACATGAACCTTTGCTTGTGATTGGTCCAAGATCACTGAAGAGGTTTTTAGATGCTTACGCAAGGCTCGAAGATTTAGATGCACTGTTCTTGGACTGTAGGCATACAACGGAGGCTAGCCTAGATTCCTTCTTCAGTTCCAGCAATTCCGAACACGATAAATATCAATCTCAAGAAACTACATTATTTGCTCAAGACAGTAGAATGGAAAGTTTTTGGAAGAGACCTGGGAGCCCAGTTGATATTGCCATGGCTGAACCACTTTTAATTAGACTGAAGTCGATACTTCGTGATGCGGGTCTAGAAGCTTTATATAGTGTCCCTGTCATACATTGCCCTCAAGCTTTTGGTGTTGTCCTAAAAGCTGCTGAGAGAATAAATAGTGTCAGAAAAACTATACCGGGTTGGAAGCTTGTTTACTCTGGTGATACTAGACCTTGTCAATCCCTGATAGATGCATCTGCTGACGCAACAGTTCTTATACACGAGGTTAGTAATCTTTTAACTCTTTATCTTTGCATACATCTAGTAAGTTTGTAGTTAGTTTATGGCCATGGCTTCATTGCAAAGAGCCGACAAAAAATATGTTTCTTTATACAACAAATTAGAAACCCTTTCCCAAATTTTTTGGGGTCTACTACATGAATCATTTTCTTTATTGGCCTCGACTAAGGACCATCTCCTCAATCAAGTTACAAGCATTTTTGCACAAAAGGTAAACACACAAAATGGAAGATGAAGCTACAGTAGTTCCAGAAAGTATCCAGTGGGCCGTCTTTACCACTGGTTGTGATGATGTGGTGTTCCCACCCAATAAAAAAGAGACAGCTTCCCAATTATCTCAATCAGTTTCAACTGCTTAATTTTTCAAGCCCTTCTCTATATCATTCCTCACCGCCTGTCTCGCATCTCTCCCACTCGGCCACCAACCTCTGCCTCAAATGCGACGAGGTGGAAGAGCGCAAGGGTGCGGGAAGGTGGGCGCTGGATAAACGTACCGCTCTGAAATCTTCTACTTAGAATGATCTAGAGACCCAAACCCTTGAAACTTTAATATTGATGCATAATACAAAAAATCCCCAATTCTAATACATTTATATATTGTAGAATCTCTCAGGTTATTGTTGCTCGGATTGCAGCCCGTACGAATTGAACTCGATTATTCTTGAATTTGTGTACCAATTCTTAATTCTTGACCTAGTTGATGAAAATTTTGGTGGGAAATTTAAGATTGCTTTTGAACTATGATAAAAAAAAAGAAACTGTGTTCAGGAGAGATCACGTAGGCGATCAAAATGCCACAGATCAGTCGAGAAATCAGCCTCTGACGAACAAAACGCCACCTTCTTTGGTCTCCTTTAAAAGTATTTGCAAGTAAAGTCTCATCCCACAACTATTTTGTTAATATTTTATCACATTGTTGGGCTCTTTCTTCACAAGGAATTTGGCTGCAATCTAATGAGGGAACGTTATCTCGAAAGTTGTGGCTCTCATCACCGTTGTAGCATTGGCGACTGCAGAATGGGGAAGGAAGTGAAAGGGTCAGTGAAGGATTAGTGATAGGGTTGAAAAGATGATAATTGATGTTAATATAATCAGACAGCTCTCTTTTTTTTTTATTTGTTGGGGACACCACATCACCCCATCCAGTGGTGGGGACGGCCCACTGGATACTTTCTCCAGTAGTTCATATTCTCATGAATTCATACCTGACAAGCTATGTTGTACCAGGTCACGCCTATTAGGGATAAACTTTCTCGGTGTGAGTTAGTCATATTATTAAATACCTTTAACGTTGAATAAGCACGTAGCAGCATTACTAGTATTTTGCCAAATAGGTGATGTGTTGGCAGGCAATCATGAGGGGGACTCCGATAGGGAGTATTCCCTCATCTGGCTTATGCACCCTTCTACTGAGCTTCACTACTAGTACTTTGCCCATGTGGCCTTTTGTATGATTTTGATATTTTGTGAGGGAAGTGCTATATTTTGTACCTATATGTTTCTAAACTCTTTTTAATAAATGCAAGAGGATCTCCCACTGTTTTTATGATTAAAAAACATGTAGCAATATTTTATTATCAATTCTGGATGGCAACTACCTAACAACAACACTTTCTAGATAAGCATCCGATTTGTTCTATTGTTTGCCTCGTGTGTAACATGTTGATTTATATGGGTAGTACATAATTAGAGTCAGCAGAATGCATGTTGATGATCCTTCTAATAGTATAGGCATAGATAAGAAGCTATGGAAGTATGGATATTGCGTAAAGTGTCAGTTTCCTCTGTAACAATTTGACCAACACATCATGTAAGTACTTAGAGTTTCAAGAAATTGAAAAACCACTTGTCATATTTTTGACGTCATTGTCACCGTTATGTTCTTCACTATTGTTTCTGCAGGCGACATTTGAAGATAGCATGGAGGAAGAAGCAATCGCAAAGAATCACAGCACAACTAAGGAAGCCATAGGGGTTGGTTCATCAGCTAGAGCATATCGCATTGTACTGACTCATTTTAGCCAGAGATACCCAAAAGTCCCAGTGTTTGATGAGGCGCACATGGATAGAACTTGTATTGCTTTTGATCTAATGAGCATCAACGCAGCAGACTTACCTGTTCTTCCTAAGGTGCTTCCATACCTTAAAGTTCTTTTCAGGAATGAAATGGCTGTCGACGAATCTGATGACATACAAGATGTGGCTGTGCAATGATAAGTTCAGAGGGATTGTGTTTCCTTTGTTTGAAAATTTATGTTGATTTGTTTCCATTAACTTTTCAGTTTAATATGTAACAATTTTGTCAGAAAGATTTGTAATTGTTTTATGTCCACACGGATATAAGGCTAAGCTCGCTGAACAACCTGAACGGTACGATGGTAAATCCTAATTCTTCCCCTCTCTAAACCTAGAGTTTTGGATTCTGGTCCAATCCATCAATTGTACATCTAGAAATAGTCTGATTTCGTGAAGACCATGGCTAAACTTGATGTCGAGCTCACTATAGAAGAGCACAACCTCCTAAGGAGATGGGGGGTGATGTGAAGCTGAGGAGGACGATTCTTGATTTATAATTATCAATTGTTAATTATACGGGACTAATAGTGCCATGTATTTTAAGGATGAAATTGTATAAAATCGATAATTTTTTGGACAGCCTTGATGGTGTAACAAGAAAGAAGTTGATTTTGTTAATGTTTTTTTTGAAAGTGGTTTTTTTCAAAATTTCTCCTTTCTTTTATTATTATTCTAAAAAAAATCTCATTATTCGGCCCTCATGTTTTTTTTTTCCAATCCTATTTTGCTTTGCCCATGGCCTATCAAATATACAAAAAATCAAAATTACATTGACCTGGGCGTTGGAGTTAAAAATGGAAGGAGATTTTTTTTTTAAAATAGGTCACTTTTGCTAAATGTGATTTTTTAAGCACACGGGACTACTAGTTCTATGTGTTTAGTGGCCGCTAATCGACCACTAAACAAGATTCAGAAAACCCACGGGACAAGTCTCATGGGTCTTCTAAATAGTTTTCAGAAAATGCACGGGACTACTAGTCCAATGGGTTTTATGAATAGTTTCTAGATCCATGGTATTTCTAATGTGCACGGACTGAGGTTGTCCCGTTTGTCTTTTGTACTGAAGTGGTAATAGATATGATCCATTATAAGTCGACCAATAACAACTATTATTTGGAAGATGAAAACTCTCATTATAAGCCTTTCGGTAATGATTCGTTGAATACCAAGCAAAACAATATCGATCATAATGTAATCTAGTGCCACCATCCTGATTAGAACTAGCCGCTAAAACATGTTCACATGATAATTTTTATAATTGTGGTATATTATAAGTACAACTAACTCCTGATCAAAGAGATAAAACGATGCAAGTACCTTCACTATTTTTAACCTCACATTCATTGTCGTTGAATAGAGTTATTTTACATGATCTTACAGTCATAATCCTTTTCTACAGAATACTCTTATTTTTTTTAGTGTAACTTGACATCTAACTTGCACCATCACCACATCTCTTATTAAAGTATGTGTTTAATTTATAAAACATCCTTTGCAACCAAGACTTGAATTGGCATAGCTCGGGCACCCTTGAGTACGTCATTGAAACTTTCAGAGCAATTAGTCATCATCATACTATAGCACACTCTACCATCTCTATATAATACCCATCGATTTTCGTATTGTAGCTTCAAGTTTTGTCCAATCCAATTGTGTGCTTCAACTGATATGAACTTAATTTTCTCTCCCTACAATGCTCATATACTAGTGTGTCGACTGCACACCTGGCTTGCCACAATAGATTTTGCAAGTTGACCTCTCCGTATTTTTTCTTAAAATTATCTTTTATATGCCTCAAGCAATACCACTGATGATGTGGTGCTCCAAACCCCTCGTGCAAGGCCCGTTGAATTCCTTTCATTCGGTTGGAAATAAAAGTAACCGTTCTAGGACTTTGAACAGTAGGGATGAATCTGTAATACATTAAAAAAATCACTTCCAACTCGATGTTTCCTCTACCTCAAAGATTGCGAAAGCCAATGGAAATAACCCACCATTTGCGTCTACACTGGTCGCAACAAAGAGCGCTCCTTTATACTGGTCATATAAATGTGTGCCGTCGATGCTCAAGAGCGTATGACAAATGAGAACCCTTTGATAGCATGTCCAAATGCCCAAAAATACTCAGCATGAACCTCTCCACTCCCTGTGCAATCTCTTTAGACAATATTTCGTATTTGATACCCGGATTTTTCCTCTTAATTGCTTCAAGATATTGCAAAAGTAATTCATAAGATTTCTCCCAATCTCCAAAGATTTTAGTCAACGCCTTCCTATGTGCATCAATGCTTTATATTTGGATATAATTATTTTTTCTCATATTGTTACCATTGTAATTATCTAACTTGGAGTAAGATTAAGTTCCCACCTTACTTCAGGCATAATTAGCTTTAAGATATAAGAGGAAACTGCTGTCTTATGATCAATATTGATAGGCAGATTGCAAGACGTATGGAGTACGCAATAACTAGAGATCATAAATTGCCCATTAGATTTTTTCATAACAGCTGCATTAAGCTTCCATGGACACTTTGAATTTCTTTCGTCTTAAGCACTTGCATATTCTCCTTTAGTTTCTCTTTGAAGTAGCATTTTACATGATAGTTGGTTGTATTAGTTTTCACCGGCTTGAATTTAACCCGATTCTTGTTTGACCATTCACGTATGGCGAAAACCAATGTTTTTTTATTTTTGAATAGATCCCCTTTTTTGAAAGCGAAGTCCTCGGGTCGTTCGAAATTAAAACCAAGCTTAGCGAACTCAGCTTGTGAGGCATTTATCCACTCATTATTTGAAACTCTTCTCGTAACGGTTCTTCAAACTCCACATAATCATTGTTTACACAAAATTCATCCGTCCAACAAGTGTCCTCATCAATTCCTCCTATTGCACACTGCATGCTATCAAGACCCCCCCTCCTCTTCAGCATCTTCATAATCACCATCCGCATCGTCATCCTCTTCTACAATAGAATCAACCGATAAATGAACTGTAACACGACCCGAAGCGTTGTGGAACATATCACTTGACGTTGCACAATAGGGAGCTTGAGTCCATGTCATTACACACGAAACATTTTCTAAGTGCACGGCCTTGGAGATGAAATGAATTCTCTCGAGTTATTTTCTAAGTCAAGCATACAGGAGAACTCTCCAGGAGCATTTGAAACATGGGCAACACCAGATATTGGAATATTTTCAATGAACAAGTCGATTAAAATTTGGTTTTCCGCAAGTTGTATCTTGTCATTCAGTTCTTTATCATTGGTTATCTCTACAACACTTGCTCTTTTTTCATTTACCGGACAATTACAGAAGACTTTTAGTGGCATACTTTGCATGATTATAATTCTAGTAACTCTGTATATTTGCTCAACCATTAGATCGAAGTTGCAATTTTAGATAACATGAACATTTTTCTAGATCCTCCCTCATATATATATAGGCATATTATTCATTCCAACACTCAACTTCCCATTGAATAAGCAAATAATCGATATTTCATTTGCCATTCGAACTGAAATATTAACATTCATCATATGCAAATTATTTATATTATTCAAAAAATTAAATTTTATACATCTTATTTCTACCTACTAGTTAAACTGTAGTTGAAAGACTCTCTATATCAATTTTAATCTATCAAAATTTAACCAAATCCTATTGTTTATCATGATTAATAAAATTATTGTAGATATACAGTTATTTCCAAACTACAATTTTAACTAAATAATAGAGAGAAAATTATGCTTTGATAAAAATCTAAAATTCGTCGGCGTCGAAGAGGCTAGACGACATCATAGGTCAACAATGCAGAGTGAACTTTGGGAAATATCTCAATTTGGGTTTGGAGAGAATGAGTTTGGGGAGAATAAAAGAGAGAAAATTGAGGGAGAAAGAGGTAATTTGGGAGAGAATCAATGGAATGGGGGGAAGAGATCGGGAGGGAGAGATTGTGAGGGGGTTTATCAATTAGGGTTTGGAGAAGGAGAGAAATCGAGAGAGAGAGATGATGAGGCTATGCCCTAAATTTTGGGCACAGCTGGGGCTTAGATAGGCCCGGCAAAAACTATTCAGAAAACTCAGTCTCTTGGGTTTTCTGATTCTTGTTTAGTGACCGATTAGCGACCACTAAACACACATGACTAGTAGGTCCGTATGTTTCAAAAGTTAGATTCAGTGAAACTGACCTCTTTTTGACTAGATTTGATGAGCTGGTAAAAAAGAGGTCGGTTTTGCTAAATATTTAGCAAAACCGGCCTATTAAAAAAAAAAAAACTCCAAAAAAAGGAATTCTGATTTTATACGGGCGTGGAGAAGCTTCGCCTCACGCAGCAGACTCACCTCCTCGGTGACCAACTACTCTCTCTTATTTATTTTTACCACCCGTACCCTCTTCATCTTCCCTCTTCAGACTCTTCCCCAAAAAGAGGGGCGAAAAAAGCCAACAGATCCAGCCAGGATTTCAATAATCTTTTCTAGGGTTTCGAATCGACCATGGATTCGAGCAGGAGAGCGGTCGAGGCGTACTGGAGATCTAAGATGGTCGATGGAGTCACATCGGACGAGGACAAGGTCGCTCCCGTTTACAAACTGGAGGAGATCTGCGATCTGCTGAGGACTTCTCATGTCAGTATCGTCAAGGAGGTTTCCGATTACATCCTCAAGCGGATTGATCACAAGAGCCCCGTTGTCAAGCAAAAGGTTTGATGATTTGGATTCTTTTTTTTTTTGCTGATGCCTAATTTACAAAGGTCATCCAATTGCGTAGAGCAGTCCGATTCGCGTTTCTAGCAGAATTTCTCAAAGCGTACTATTTAGCAATTAGACCCGTTTCCCTGAATGGCGTCACTCCAGATTCCAATTATTGAATTTATGCTACTATTTTTTTTTTGGAAAATTAACAAATAGCAACCGGAACAGGTGGCTTGAATGATATCGCTCGAGATTAGCTCTTTGATTGCTTACCTGACCAGATGGTTGAAACTTGTTTAGGAGATGAATTGAAGAAATTTTAATATCCCTTGTTAGCATTATCAGATCTATGATGATCTAAGAATATGAGCGCGATGTCCGTAATTTCGACTCTCGGGTGGGTTTTGATTGGGACTGGTATTTCATTGTAGAATTGTACAGCATCTCGTCATGAGAATTTTGGGACAATCCGCTTATTTTACTTGTTGGATGCTAACATGAAACTTGCTTAGAAGTTGGAACTATAAAATTTTACAGTTCTCTGCCAATGAGGGCTGCACTATAGGTAATGTACAGTGATCTTAAAATAAGTCGCACAATCTCTCAGGTAACAACAGGCGGTAAAGTTACTGAGAGAAAAGTGGCTCTGTCCATCCCACTTTTCGTATTGTGGTGGAGCGTCATCCTTTGTTTTGCACTGTCTAGCGGAACCAGCTGTTAACTTGCGTTTGAGCTAGAAATAGATGCAAACTAGAATTTTAACTCTTTGTTTGTGCTTGTTATAGGCTCTACGTCTGATCAAATATGCAGTGGGAAAGTCTGGTACGGAATTCCGCAGGGAAATGCAACGTCATTCAGCAGTAATGCGCCAGCTGTTTCACTACAAGGGGCAGCCAGATCCCCTTAAAGGAGATGCCCTTAATAAGGCTGTTCGAGACACAGCCCATGAGGCTGTGTCAGCTATCTTTTCTAATGAGGACAACAAGGCAGTGACACCGGCAGAAGGTATCCAAAAGCGTATTCAGGGTTTTGGCAATACTAACTATCAAATGCCTACAGAAGAGAAGAAGTCGTTTCTCAGTGAAGTTGTGGACATAGGACTGAGCACAATTGCTGTTGCTAATTCCATCAGGAAAAGTGACAGCGGGAGTTACAAGAGCCCGAATCTTCGAAGATCTCTAACTACAGAAGTAGGTGGCCGAGATAGATATGCAGGAAATGATTATTGCAGTGGAGATGATTCTTCTTCAGGTTCTTCAAGAAACATGTCTTCAGGGACATGGGGCCAAGATTCGAGAACAGCGGCAACAATTACAGCATCTAATGAAGAAACAGCTTCAAATCATACAGGGATTAAGAGTCGTGAGGAGAGGCTTTTGGAGACCATTGTCACTTCAGGGGGTGTACGTATACAACCCACTCGTGATGCTATCCAGGCTTTTCTCACGGAGTCATTGAAACTTGATCCAGTGGCTATGAGTCATGCACTTGAGGTGAAACTCCACTCGCCCCTATGGCAGGTATGTTGGCACTATCCTTGATCTTTGATGAATTCTGATTGATATTCAAAGTTAAATAGACACTTCTTAATTTAAATAGAGGGGATTTAAAGATTTCATTTGGTTGAGTATATACATATACAAACTCAATACAAAATCAGTTTTGTTCTGTCTCACTCCAATCCCAAGTTTCTAGGAGCAAAATCATTTTCAAACAATTTGGTTTTAACACCTTGGTTGGGAAGTAGAGGGAAGGAGAATAAAAACTAAACTGAATTGTTCTCGTTTTCTAAATTAGGTAGGCTTTATAAGAAAGATGAAGATAGAATAAAAGCTGATTCAAACTGGGTTATCTAATTCTCAATCTAGTAGGCTTTATAAGAAAGATGAAGATAGAATAAAAGCTGATTCAAACTGGGTTATCTAATTCTCAATCTCAAACATGGTACTATCAGTTCTAAGATAGAATAAAAGCTGATTCAAACTGGGTTATCTAATTCTCAATCTCAAACATGGTACTATCAGTTCTACTAACTTGCTGTCACAACATAAGAATTTCCCGCCTGCTTGTTTCAAACAAGATGTCAAATTTATGAGTAGAGTTTTCCGTACTTGTCTCTAAACTTATAAGTAAAATTTTTTTTGCATAAAGTTTTTCCAGAAATTAAAGACCACAAGGATGTCGTTACTCTATGTTTACTGTAAAAACTATTGCTGTTATATGTTTGTTTTGTAAGTTTCATATACCAATAGAATATCAGAATTCACATCTGCCATATTAAAACTGGGCCACACTTGCTGTTTATATATAAGGTCTCTCCACTAAATTCCTGAAGGATTATTAAACATACTAAAACCTTGTAGTATATTTTTTTTTGGGTGAAAATTAAAATTGTTCAACTATTTAATATACTAGAGTCAATTAAGATTTATTTTAAACTTATGAAAGAGAAATGTGATCTTTTTTGTTTTTGTTTTGTTTTTGTTTTGTTTGGTTGAAGTTTGACACTCTAGAATTCAATTGTTTTTACAATAAACCCATTTGGTACCTGATTCCAATATTTCCAGTCCTACGCTACTCGAAGATTTATTTTAATCTTATGAAAGAGAAATGTGATTTTTTTGTTTTGTTTTGTTTTTGTTTTTGTCTAGTTGAAGTTTGATACTCTAGAACTTAATTGTTTTACAATAGATCCATTTGGTACCAGATTCCAATATTTCCAGTCCTACACTATTCAAACTACAGAATTACTGATTTGAATTACCTAAAAGAGCTACCCTGAGCCCTATTGGTATCAAGATCTTAAACTTGTTTGAAATAGCATAAGATGTCATCTGATTATTAACATACTAAAACCACATTTACCAGACTGCTTTTACGTTAATTTGTTTTTAAGTTGTTCAAATGAAGAAATTACATTCTGTTTAGTGTGGTTACTGAAACCATGTGATTACTAAAACTGTATTTTGTTTGGAATTGTCAGGTCCGGATGAAGGCCTGTTGTGTCTTGGAATCAATTTTGAGGAAAAAGGATGATGAGCATTTATCCATTATAGCATCTTATTTTAGTGAGAGGAGAGAATCTGTGGTTAAATGCTCTGAAGTACCTCAAGTTTCTTTGAGAGAAAAGGCAAACAAAGTAAGTAGCCTCATTTTCCTTTTTGTCCCCGTTGAAATGTTGTTCAAAGTTATTCTTGCTATATTCACTATGTCTTACTTTTTGCTCCTCAGCAGAGGAGTGCTTTTTCTTGTGCATTTCTACCTATTTCCATGGATTTCCTGTATTTGTACCTTAATATTTTCATAGCATATCCCTTTTAATATATTCAAGGTTTAATGTAAAAATTGGTTATTTGTTGTATGATTCACATTCAATGATCTAACACTTTGAATATGATTTAATCAAAATTCAATCCATTTTCAAGTTGATGGGAAAATTAGAGCCATTGTAGTGTATCGGATTTTAAAATGATATTCTTTTCTGCATTTCACTTTCGGTCAGCAGTTTTCTTCTATTGCGCTCATATTCTCTCTCTGGGTGCCACAAGGAGTACAGAACTGGTGAATGGGATAATTGCTTGTGTTTATGTCTCAATATTTTAGTTTTCTCTTACCCTTCACATTTATTTGATTGTATTCTGAATAGCAGCCAACCCCCGGATATAGGTGTTGCACCAGGCAATCAGGATTGATGCTGCTTATCTATAGGAATAGTATGGAAAACACCTTTTTCTGTTGTGGCCGTTATAAATAAATATGACGTTCTATTGGACCATTTACGGTTCTTGGGTTTACTGGAATCTGTTTTTGTTTTTGTTTTAAGTTATAATCTGATAAAATCTACATTCAGAGCCCAAAGCATCCAAGACTTAGTAATATAGGCACACAAACAACTAAAATCTTATCCTCTGAATCGATAAAAAGAAAAGAAAAGCACGATATTAATCTTCTTAAGTTGCGTTTATGGTTTGTCATCTTTTCCCTTGTCTACCTTTTTATAATAGTTCATTTTTGCCTATTTATATTTGTTTGTTTCATTATCTTTTTTCTCTTAACTTTCCTGGTCAAATTCCAGCTTATTTTTGGTTTTCCCACTTTTTGTATGTTACTGATCAGTTTAATGCCTTCTTTTCTTTAGGTTTTAAGTCTTTTGGATGGGGACAAGATTTCTGGAACAGGGAACCAGGTGGAGCAATCTAACTCAAGGCCCATGCCAGTTCCAGCTGTTCAGATGCCCGACTTAATCGATACAAGTGATGCAAATGATTATGGAACTGAATCTTTAACACAGAAGCATGCTGACCAAAATATTGGAAACCTGACAACATCTGGTTCTTTGGTTGATGATTTGTTTGGAGATGGCCCTGTTGCTGGTCTGAACAGCAGTGAAAATAGAAGTGAAGATGACCCATTCACAGATGTATCTTTCCACGTGACCGAAGAGAAACAACTTGATGACATATTTTCAGGCTTGACAGTTGATGTTAACAAATCCGAGAATGAGCAGAAAGTTAATAAAGAGTTTGGATTGCTCAACGCTTTCAGTTCCAACTCTGATCTTCTTCTACAAGAATCAGAAACGAAAACGAGCAAAGAGCATGACTTGATGCCTGGTTTGTCTCTTAACAGTAATGTGCTAGAGAAGAGCCAACCTTTTATTGGAACTTCCTTTGTTGATACCATAAATCTGTCCAGCCAAATGCCTACGAGCCAATCCAGCCAGGGTCCTGTGAGCAGTGCTCTAAATGGAGGTCTTGGTTCAAACTCCTTATTCCCTATGGCTGCAATGCAGTATAATATGCCCCAAAATATTATGTTCAATCCATCTTATGCTAACCAGCCAATGAACTATGCCGCCATGGGGGCGTTCATTGCACAGCAACAACTACTGTTTCAAAATGTAGGAAATATTAATGCTGGTTATGGGCATGCCGTTGGAAATGCTGTTGACGGAAGTCACTCCTCAGCATTACCTGACATTTTTCAACTTTCAAAAAATCCAGTACAAAGCCATGCTACAACTCTAACCAGCTCGAAGGAGGATACAAAAGCTTTCGATTTTATTTCGGTGAGTTCATTCTTCCTTTACCCAAATAAATAAATTCTGTTTCCTATTGATTTCCCCTTCTGAAACTATCTTCTACCATAAAAAAGGATCATGCTAATAAACGTACTAGAACTGCTGGATTGTGAGATGAAAAGTTGTATGAATTTCACTAGGAGAAAGTACTAGAACTGCTGGATGTTGAGACGAAGTTGTATGAATTAGTCCAATAGCTGTCACAGAGAGGTTTTTTGTTCAATTGCACTTTTTATACATATTAATTGTCTGTCTACTGTATTTTTTAATTAAGAGAATAATCCATTAGCGATTCTACAACATAGCTTCCATGTCAGTCTTAAAAAGGATACAAGTAAACATGCTATGACGAACACTGGTTGATATTCATTTTCTCAATGTTTATTTTCTTTCTCTTCGCTTCTCCTGAAGATCTATGTTCTTTGTGTTATGAGCCAAGTCATTTGTTATTTTCGAAGAACAATGGGCAAAAGTCCCTGTTTGACAGTTTGTTTAATACCATTAAACGCTGGTGCTCTTGGTCTTCAACCCTGTGTGGGTGGTGTCTCCTTAAGTAAGTCTGCATGCATAATATTTTTTACCGGCTTATGTTGCAGGATCATTTATCAGCAGCTCGAGATTCAAAAAGAGTATTGTGAATGTAATTTGACAGCGATATGGACACTGAAGCAGCCTCAAGTAATTCTTTTGCAAAAATGTTCCTTCCCTCAAATTACATGAACTACTGTCGTCATCCCCTCTGAATGTGCAGCCATATTTAAAATGTTTATGTTTAATAGTCTTGTAGATGTGAACATGCATCCCATATTTTGAAGAGAGTTGTTGTAATATATATGTAAAATGGAGGCCAGATATTCAATTCTCGTGAATTTCTATTTGTTTTCCCTGCAAATTGCTGTGTTGGGGCTTGCATTCTCGGTAGCGTGTTATTTTTACTTGCTTTGTCGTTGATATAGCCTTACAGAAATGGTAATGAATAGTGAACAGCCGTGCGGGGCCAAACAAAAAAAAGTTATTACTGAAGGTAATACTTTGCCTCGTGAAATTGTAATGTTTATCCTTCCATCTGTTGGTTGTCAATTTTGTCTTGTTATGTAATTTTGAGCAATGGGTTTGGTCATAAATGATTTGTTGAAGGTATACGTGTTCAATATTTTTCAAGTTAATTTCTTTTGTCTGAAGGTGGATAATTGATGCTCTAAAATTTTAGAGATGCTCTAGACCAATTTTGCTTAAAAAGCCTTGAGCATATATTGTGCTGTGTATGTACTTTTTATATGGAAATCTAAAAAGATACGTGGGCTCTTATGTCTGTGGAACTTTGTTTTCTAAACTAATAAATAAAAAGATCTCTAGAAGTTGTGTGATGTTCGACTGCCCATGACTGAAGGCGGAACGTTTGGCTAATTTTATTTATTTTTTAAATATATCTTTTACAAAAGATTAATTAAAGATACCTTGCTGAAAATCTTCTAATCCTTTGATTGTATATCCTCCGCAACTAACTTTCGAAAATCCTCAAAATTTATCTGTTACCGGAAGATCCTAACAAGCTCCTCCTTATGCTAACCTTTTTATTCACTCCCACCATCCTCTTCTCCTCACACTTGCATCTTCTGCAACCAAATCAAATCAATGGAGGGTACTCGTGCAGCGACCGGCCAGATTGTCCCGATGGGGACCGAAACCGTGAGGAAGGAGGAGACGCAGACCCCCGCAATGGTTCAGCACACAGTCCATATGCCCTTAGAAGTGGTCAGAGTAAAGAAGAAACGTCGTAGTATTTTGGGCCAAGCAGTGCAAGTCATTTTCCGAGCATTGACTGCGTTGTGCATGATCCCAGCTGTCATCTTAATGGTCTTGCGCAATGAGGAAATTGAGATTGTTGATAACAGATACGTCATTCATGCTAGCTACAGATCATCTCCAGCTTTTGTGTAAGCTAAAACTACAGGTACTAATTTATAGCATAAGGTTTTATAACTATATGTTGATAAGTCCCTTTTTTTTGTAGGTACTTGGTGCTGGGTGCTGGAGTTGCCGGATGTTACTCTATTCTTGGTATTGCTCTTGCCTTCTGTAGTCCAAGAAATCGATTCCTCCACACTCTTGATATGGTAAAATATCTTTACTTCCTTTTCTTTTTCCCCTCATCTTTTTAATTTTCTTAGCTATTAGAAAAATTATTTTAAGGGTAGCCTTGGCGCAACGGTAAAAGATGAATTATGGAAACATAAACTATGATTAATATCTTAAACCTTGGCAACTTCATATGAAGGTAATCCATGAACTATGATTAATATCTTAAACCTTGGCAACTTCATATAAAGGTAATACATGAAAGTTTGATTTACACATATATAAGACAATTATTTTAAGATGAGTTAACTATTGAAGTCCTATACAAATATGTTAAGATACGGTCTAGTTTCCCTTGTTCTCACTTTTTTTTGATATGTTAATTGTATCTTTTTTTTACTTCCTTTTCATTCATTTATTATTATATTTTTGCTAATAATTAGAGATCTCAATCAGGAATTCTCTAAAAGCATGACAGCCACATCTTTATGAATTTATTATGAACGTAAATTTCGTTTTTCAACTTCTACCAAAACAAATGAACTCCAAATACCTGGCCCATATATAATACCCTATAGGCACTCTTTATCTAGGTTACTTAACTTACCGAACTTATTCGTTGAAAAAAAATGCAATTTTAACTATTACTAATATTTATACTGAATTATTTCAGATGGTTCTGTCTCTAGCGATGTCAGCTTGGTCGTCTGCCGCTTCTGTTAGTTATATTGGATTTTACGGAAATGAAGACTTGGCGTGGGGCAAAGTCTGCCCATACGTGAAGAAATTTTGCTTGAGTAGCAGATTTTCCCTTTCCCTATCTTTCTTTGGTTCGATATTTCACTTCTTAGTTTGTACTTTGTCTTCTGCTTAGCCCAGAGCTAGTACTCTCAAAGGTATTTAGTGATTAGGAGTCCTAAGTGAATAATGTCTCATAAACATTTTATCTCCGCGCCCTTTCATTTTGTTTTGTAGTTCTATGCTTTGTTTTCTATGTTGACATGATTAAATAATGATGGTTGATTAGTATCCTATTCTTTTCTCGTTGGTGTTTGATTGTGATTTATCAGCTTTCCTTGAGATTGTCTACAATTTGTTTTAGTAGAAATAGAATGAAAGTCACTCTTTTTATCTATAATTTCATGTTATATTAGTGTAAAAGTAACTGTATACTTTTTTGGGAAATAGAGGTTTGTGTTTTTTCAGAGGATGGTGTTTGTTTTGATAACACGGAAATAAGCAAAATGTATTGAACAAATTCTTCACTAAATTAAGCGTTAGATATATTGCACAGATAGAATATAAATAATATATTATCTATCTCTCTTTTTTTCTTCTGCAACAAGCTTTTGGTCAAAGACTCTTAATAATAGTATACAATGAGATTTTAAACATTCTTAGATACTAATTTTCAAAAAGAGTATTGTGAATGTAATTTGACCATGATATGGACACGAAAGAAATTCTAAACGGTTTCCGAGCATAATGAAGCAGCTTTGAGTAATTCTTTTGCAATAATGTTCGTTGTCTCAAATTACATGAATTATCATCTGTTATCCGCTCCATACATGCAGCCATATTTCAAATGGTTATGTTTATTAGCCTTGTTCACCAAAATGTTTTTAATGAAGTTAGCACACTTTGTTGTGAGATTGTAATGTCTGTCTTTTCATCTGTTAGTCGTCAATTTTGTTTGAAGAGGACATGGATTTGGTTTGCAATCTTCAACAATGGATTTGGTTGTCAATGATTTGTTTGTTAACATCCAACAGTTTATATGTACAGGTTTGTTTCCTGTTTGATGTTTTACTTGATGCTTTTAATTGACGGTTGATGAACAAATAAGGGTGCCTGTCCAGGATAACTCTGCAACCTCTTGCAAGGGACGGAGGCATTTGTGAATAACTAAGGAAGTTATGTCCCAGCTGCTGTCTATCTCACTGAAAACTTTGTGGATATGACATCTAAACTTATGATTGTTAATGAAAGCATGCGTGCCGTGCTAACTTCTCATAAATGTCCACTGCAGGTCAAAGTTCAAGGCAAAATCTTGAACACATGCATATATCTATTCAAGGGATTGCTTGCAATAGACCCCATGTACTATGTTGTTTTGTACTACCATGTAGTTTCATTTTAGCAGATAGACAGTTGGGTTAAATTTTTTTTTAAAAAACTCTTTCACCGTGAATGAATTTTGACATGTATTACTTTATGGTGGGAGTAATTAGTCTATATTAAAAGGGTCCAACGAATTTCACCAGGTTCTATCTTCCAAAATGAAACAACAAGAGCACTGCTAAGGTCAAAACAACGATACTACAAGGGGTGTATGCGTAATTAACCCTATAGTCTGTACTCGGCATCCAATTTAGCAATAAGGTGGCGCGATTGAGGATTAGCTGAACACAAGCCAATTGTTTATTACTGAAGATATATAGAGAATACTGCAAGAATAGTTAATAAAGTTTATATAAAAGGCTACAATACTGTTGATATCGTTTATTTCCATTCTTTAGTGCTCAACCTTTGTGCGCGCGCTTATCCCCAACATGTTCTGAGGCAAGCGTCGATCTCGTCCTCCATGCCATCTGTCAATAAATTGTTGGGAATTTAATGCCTAAATCCCTAATGCAACAGAAACGCAGAATAGAAAAAGTACACCAAGATTTACGAGGTTCGGCAACAAGCTGGGGATTAGAAATCGCTGCTGCGATTTGAGAGAAAGAACGCTGCTGCGTTAAAAGGGGATCCGCTGCCAAAAGAGATCGAAAAAGGGGGAAAGAAGCTCGGCATCAAAACCCTAGGGTGATGGAGGGGGGTTTTATAGGCGGGATTCGTGGGCTGGCGACAGCCTGTTGCCAGCGGATAAGCCCGACGCGAGGGTGGGAGGCCGAACGCGGGGGTCGGAGTCGCCCAACGCGAGGGTCGCGTTCGCCAACGCTGAGGGTCGCGTTCGCCATCAACCGAGGGTCGCGTTCGTCGTCGAATTCACCTGAGTCGACGTCCACGCTCGCCTACATCATCCATCGAGCTCGTCGGAGCTCCTCGCCGGAGGTGAGTTTGGTCTACACCCAAACTAACAATCTCCCACTTGAAGACCAAACCGACGCTAACGGGTTATCTCATCAAGCTTCTCTCCTGTGTGGCTCCGCCCTCATCATCTATGCATGAAGGCCAACTGAAGTTGCGCACAACTCCAGTTTCTGAACAGTCACCGTCTTTGTTAACATGTCTGCTGGATTCTTACTTCCTGGAATCTTTTCCAGTTTTAACACATCATCTTCCAACAGGGATCTGATGAAGTGATACCGAAGAGCAATATGCTTCGTTCTAGAATGAAATGCTGAATTCTTCACCAAGTGTATCGCACTCTGGCTATCACTGTGCAAAACATTATTCTCCTGTTTAAATCCCAGCTCTGTCAACAAACCCTGAAGCCATATCATCTCTTTACTGGCTTCAGTCACTGCAACGTACTCAGCTTCTGTAGTGGATAGGGTAACGATCTTCTGTAAATGTGACATCCAACCAACAGCTGTAGTTCCAACGGTGAATACATAGCCGGTGGTGCTTCTTCGATGATCAACTTCGCCGCCGAAGTCTGCATCTACGTACCCTTGCACTTCCACCTCTCCCTTACCAAAGTGCAAACACTTCTGTGTGGTGTCTCGTAGATATCTCAGAATCCACTTGACCGCTTCCCAATGAGCTTTTCCTGGATTCGACATAAACCGGCTGACCACTCCCACTGCATGGCCAATATCTGGTCTCGTACAGACCATAGCGTACATCAAGCTTCCGATAGCTGAGGCGTAAGGAACCTGAGCCATACTCTCTTTCTCTTCTTCTGACTGAGGAGACTGATCCTTCGATAAACGAAAGTGGCTGGCCAAGGGTGTGCTCACAGGCTTGGCGTTGCCCATGTTGAATCTCTGCAAAACACGGTTGATGTACTCCGTCTGAGATAACTGCAAGAGACCTCTCTTCTTATCTCTCGTGATTTGCATTCCAAGGATCTTTTTCGTTGGACCCAAGTCCTTCATGTCAAACTCCTTTGACAGCTGCTGCTTCAAACTCTTGATATCCTCCATATCTGCTCCTGCAACCAACATATCATCAACATACAGCAGTAGGATGATATAACTGGACTGATATCTTTTGAAGTAGCAACAGTGGTCGGCGTGCACTTCTGAAAACCTTCCTTGTGCATGAAGCCGTCAAACTTCTTGTACCACTGTCTTGGGGCTTATTTCAGGCCATACAAGCTCTTCTTGAGTCTGCACACCAGGTTCTTCTTCTTTTCTTCTGAGAAACCTTCTGGCTGGTGCATGTATATCTCCTCTTCTAGATCTCCGTGAAGAAACACCGTCTTCACGTCTAACTGCTCGAGATGAAGATCTTCAATTGCTACAATACTCATCACGGTCCTGATAGTATTTAGCTTCACCACGGGAGCGAAAATATCGGTGTAGTCAATTCCTTCCTTCTGCTGGAAACCTTTGACAACTAGCCGGGCTTTATATCTTCTGGAACCATCCTGCTCCTCTTTCACCCGGTACACCCATTTGTTGTGGAGTGCCTTCTTACCCGTGGGCAACTCAGCTAGTTCCCACGTCTGGTTTGATATGAGAGACTTCATCTCATCTTTCATTGCAAGCTCCCACTTGCTCGCATCTCCACACTGACAAGCTTCATCAAAGCTTTCAGGCTCCCCACCATCTGTCAACAACAGATAGTTCATGTATCTCCTGTTGGGTACAGGAGGACGAGAAGATCTTCTTAATATCGGAGCTGGTGCGTCGGGCTCCTGGCGCACCATCTTGTCCAACAGGCTCTTCTGGCTGAGGACCTTCTGCATTGGGTTCTTCCGAGAGGTTACTCGGGATATCATCTGCATCTACAAATATTGACTCGCTCTCTGAGTCATCTGTCTTGTGCATGTCCTTGTACATCACCTTCTCGTTGAATATTACATCTCTGCTCCTGATCACCTTCTTGTTTTCGTTGTCCCAAATGCGGTAGCCGAATTCATCTTCATCATAGCCGATGAAAGTACATTTCTTTGACTTGGGATCAAGCTTATTCCTGCCTTGATCACTAATATGCATGTAAGCTACACAACCGAAAACTTTAAGATGTGAGAGTTTTACCTCCTTTCCGCACCATACCTCCTCTGGTATTCTGTGCTCCAATGGAACCGATGGACCTCGGTTGATCAAGTAAGCTGCTGTGTTGACCGCTGAATGTTTCTGGCTCTCTCTGTCAACGTTCGGTTCATCCGCTCAGCTACACCATTTTGCTGAGGCGTGTCGGCACGGTTCTCTCCATTCTGATCCTGTGCTCATAGCAGAACTTCTTGAATCCGGTGTCTTCATACTCACCGCCATTGTCGGTCCTGAGCTTCTTTATTCTCAGACCGGTCTCATTTTTGACCATAGCTTTCCATCTCCTGAAAGCCTCAAATACTTCTGACTTATGCTTCAAAAAGTAGACCCACACTTTCCGAGAGTGATCATCGATAAAAGTCACGAAGTAGTGTTTTCCACCAATGGACGCGGTGGTTGTTGGTCCCCAAACATCTGAGTGAACGAGCTCTAGCTTCTGCTTCCTGGGGGTTCTGCCACTTGTCTGAAAGCTGACTCTCTTCTGCTTTCCAAGTATACATTCTTCACACATATCCATCTCCACTGACTGCAGTCCTGGGAGTTTTCCCTTTGTGTGCATGATTTTCATCCCCTTTTCACTCATATGACCGAGTCTCTGGTGCCACAGCTTTGAAGTCTCATTGCCTGCTGCAACTGAGATCAAACAACGTGCACCTGCTGTCATATACAGGGTACCAGTCTTCTTGCCTCGGGCAATCGTCATTGCGCCCTTTGAGATCTTCCAATCATCTCCATGGAAGGTTGTGGTGTATCCTTCGCCAGCCAACTGGCCTACGGATATTAAATTCTTTCTCAGGTCGGGAATATGCCTGTGGGGGTATACTTCTCAAAGTATTCTTTCTGAGAGGTAGCATGGAACGACGC